GGAAGCTGAGATGTTTTACCCCATCAAGTGCAGTACTTGCACAAAAAGACGCAGGACAGCGTGTACCATCGCTTCGCAGCCACCTCATAGGCTCAGAAGTGCGCCTCGCCTGGCAGCGGACCAAGAAAAACGATGCGTGTATCTCACGTCCGCACGGACCTGTATCAATATTAATCATGAGTATTGCTCTAATACGGAGCCTACATTAAGCGCTGACTGCGGTGCTACGCGCGCTCCGCAGTAAGTGATAAATGTAGACAATTATATAGGCAAACTTGGCATACAATGCAGACGAATCGCGTGAGGGACCTGTAACTTCAACTTGCGGAACCTGTTACCGGTAGGTTGACATTGTAACAGACTATAACATTTCGGAGGAGGTGTCGGTTACAGAGTTAGGTATTAATGCTGTGTTTATATTGTGAGCGACCCGTACTTATATATTTATCCCTAATTTGTAAGCTGGAGTAGAATTTTATTTCGTATCTATATTTTCAATTAGGTGCACATTTTCACATTGGAAGTGTTCGGCATGTACACTTGAATAGCGCATCGCTCAATCTTTTTTGACAGTTGTACAAATCAATGCACAGTTTTTGTTATGCAATGTCCTCAACCATCTGCTTAAATTACAAGAGCAAGTCGTTATGTATTCTGGTTTATAACATCTTGAGCTGTTATATATATTCTTGGTTGATTGGCCATGATTCGATCTGATGTGTATTGCCACAATAAAACAGCAGTAATATGTGCGGTTGTTTTTACTCACTCTTCATTGATTTGTGAAGGCCCAATTACTTTGCTGATTAAGACATTTGTATATAATTTTAGGTAACGACAAATTGACCAGCATGTGTTCGGAAGTTGTACTGGCCTATCCACACAGTTTGCGTAGGAAATATGAAAGGGACATTGTGATATCTTTTTTTTTTATTTTTACCGCAGGTTCTTCCTTTTAGCACAGTGAGATGGTTGTGACACATCCATTGTGTAGGGAGTTTAGTTGTTATTAGTACAGATCTTTTTTGAGTGTGTGTCAGTCAGTGATGCGTTGCCCCAACGGTTCCCAGACGCCAGAGATATTCGGCGTGGGGCTGTTTACTTATCGGCATGCTTCGATCCCATCAAAATTCCAGGACTCAAGAGCATCCTTGGAGGGACCAAAATGTTCACCTGCGGTATCATGCAGTTTTGTGTATTTTGTTAGTGTTTGGCTTGTTGGTTGTTTAAAATGATTTTCAAACCGATTATGATCACTTGCATTTAAATTTTAAAGACGTGATATTTACAATGGTACTATGTAAATGTTTTCGGTTTAGCCTGGAATAGTTGAGTAATTCTTATGTTCATTTCATATTTCATCTCGGTAGTGTGATTACTAATATAACTAAAGTATGGATGGGCGGTTTGTAAAAAGGGACAGTCTCTCAATTGTCAGTTGGAATTTTTCCAGTAAGATCTTTTCTAGCAGCTGAAAGTGGTTTTTATGATGTATTAATTTCTTTTTCAGTAAAGGCCAAAACTGCTGTTATAAATCTTATAATTTTCTGTAAATTATTTCTCAAGTACATTCTGTTGAGATGCAAGGAAGTTCCTCTAACTTTCTCATAATTTTGGAGGGGGGTGATAAATTTTTTATTTTTTTTAATTCTCCCCCTTCAGTACATTGTGGGTTTGGAGTGTGTTGCTATAAGTTCCGTTTAGGTTTTGTAAAAGTATCATGAAAGCGGATGTATCCAGATGGATGTGACTTTACAATATGATAGCATTGCACTTTATGATGCACACAAGCATGCATGATTCCCTGTTCAATCATTGAAATGTGAATATTGAATTTGTCATCAAAAAATTGTATTTAGGTCAGTATTTCATGTACATCTTTTTAAATGTCTTGTGTGAGATGTTTTTCTGACGAAAGCATTTTATATTGACACATGGTTAAAGGAAACTTGTACTTGGATGGGCATATAAATTGCTGATTATGTGGCTGGATTGTAGCTTGAGACTGCAGGAATACCTCCTGATACCTTCAAAAGGATATCGGTTATACTGCCGTTTGATGGTTTTGTGCCATCTGTCATGTTTATTCTAAGGGTAACCTACAACAGGGAATGCAATTTCCTTTTTCTTTTTTTCCATCATAAACAGCTTGTGAAATATTTTCCCCCACACTGTGACTGTTGCTGTGTACGGTATAGGATCATACCTAGAAATTAGTAAGTCTTGTAGAGAAGAAAAGGGTTTGATGTGTCCTCTGGGCATTGTTAGCATGCTTATTCTGGTGCTTGATGGGTGATGACCACAGGTGAAATGTAGCTCTGGCCTGTGGTCTGCTAAGAGAGGCCGTCGTCGTGTTCCATTCTGAGCTATTTTAAGTGTCTTGTAGAGTTCTCAGAAGTGCAGGGTCATGGTAAAGGTATATTTATGTGAACACGGCCTTAATCATCTGCCCTCCCTACCTGTTTTCTGCTAGCTTGCATGCGGTGTCATTTTAATTAGGTACTGGCAGGTAAAAAATTTAAAATTGGCACAGTTTCGATTTTAATAGAACAGGATGTTTTGTTTTATGCCAAATAAAAGATAAAGATAAATCCAAGTCATTGTCTTTAATGGTTTTTGAGATATGGCTTTGGGGTCCCCCTGACCTGATTAGTTGGGAGCGCACATTCATTTCACTTTTGCCATCAACTCTGGCATTTCACTATGAATTTCCTGAAAAACTTAATTTTTCAAGATTCATTTTGACACATAGTTTAATATTTTTTTTTGTAGGCTTCTGTGAGAAAAAATCGAGTGAAACTGACCAACGTTTTTGGTCGAACCATTGAAAAATTGTTTTAATTGATTTCGTTTAAGTTTTTGAAAGAAAGAAAGAAGAATCCTTTGTTTTTGTGAAAAATATTTAAATGTATTACATTTCTGGACAGAGAAATGGTAAGTTTTGAATTTGAAGTGTTTTGGGCAAATTTTTACACTTTCCTCCTATTTTAATGATTCTTTTTAAGCCAAATGATGGATATCAATTTATAGATAAACTGATAGAACCCATTCTAATATTGTTTATTGTCTTCACATAGAACCACAAAATTATTTCAATTTTTTATTAAGATCACCAGTGTGAATTGAAATGCATCATATCAACACAAAGTTTTACAAGAAAACCCATGTCTTGTCTCTTGAACTGGTAGTTTCCACTGTCTGGAATTTAGTTAGTGGTTTCAGTGGTGTTGGAATTCATCCATGCCTGTACACAAGCCTAAATTAGATATCCTTAAATGAACTCCTGCAGTATTCCACGTGACACAGAGCAAGGTCTCCCATCATATGTGGCATGATTTCAGGACAGATTACGGTTTACACTGAAACTAGACAATGTGTTCCTTATTGCCTCGGCTGTCTAGTAATTTTTGCTTCATATTCTGTTGGCTGTATATTGTTTGTTTTTGTTTTTTTTTTTTTTAGTTGTGTTTTTTTGAGCACTTTTGAACTAATTTTTCTTTCACGTTATGTGGAGTATTTTATAGGGATGAGTAACTTTATAACAAAAATGTAGACATTAACATGGTGTAAGGAAGCTTTTTAAAGTACATTGTTATAGTTGTTGCCATTTCTGTAGATTTGTTCCTTCACCTATGCGTGCCAGAAGGAAAGGTAACAAAGCGTATTGAGGCACACCTGGATCTGTCCCAAGGTGCACAGGTGTGTTGCAGCTAAGTGGTTAAGAAACGCTGCTCTTTGCCCTTGTTACTGATACAGGTAAAATGAGTAGCGATGAGATTCTTAGCAGGAAAATCAATATTTGCTTATTTAGATTTTAGATTTTTCTCATGTGGTAGAGTCAATGATTGCAATTTCATGGAATTTTGGGCCCATTTATATTAAGGTGGAGTTAGTCAAACACATTTATTTTCCTTGATAACACTGTTCTATCCTGACATAATAGTAAATGGTTAATTTGTCGTGTGGTATTATTGTCGATGTTGCTATGGCTCTGCGGCAATTGTTTGAGTTGTGGGAATCAAAAGGCCCAGTGAAGTATTTTCCAACGAAGGAACTGTGCTAGCAACATTCAGGCTGAGAGCCATAGCAGTTGTCTGTTTAGCACGGCAACATGATCCAAGGCCTCGTGAGAATAAAACACTGAAATTTGTTGTTGGATCCAAGAGGCTTTCACAGGGCAGGTTAGAACATGCCACGCGGCTAGGGTCATTAGCCACTGCTCTCGTGCTTTTTGTTTAGGAGTAACAAGAGACTGATACTGTTTGATGGAGCCATTATTTTCTGACTTCGCAAGAAGGGTCCTGTTTCTGAGCTTTTTCCGAGTGAAGTTCCCTCTCTGACTTACATCCGCTTTGGATCATCACTGCCCCTTTCACTGATGACCATGATTCACACGCGTCCCTGACTTTGTCAGCTTTGGGAAGGCAGACCATTGTTTGGAATCTGGAGATTCTGGCTGTGATGTAATCCCTACAGTCATGAGGCATGTGAGTGTGGAATGCGTGTGTCAGCCTGAAACCAAGGAAACGGCGCAGACAGGAAGCAGTGTGATCCTGTTTGTGGCTTTCAGCCCATTTAGGGGGTAGCTCTGGAACGATTTTTTTTTTTTAGGGAGGTCACAAAGTAGCCCGTTTTAGACAGTTTTGCATGGATCTATTGAAGTGAAAGGGTTAATCAGTCTCGGGGTTGGAGTGCCCTTCTGTCTGGTGTCAGGTTATAGTCTGCACTGCTGGCCTGTGTAAATATTTGATGTATTATCTAACTGAAAACATAAAATGGTGCTCTTTACCATTGACCTTAGAGAGATGGTCAAGTGTTATCCTTCTCACAGATTGTTAGGCAAATAAAAGCAGTAATGGAAGTAAGATTTGTTTCATGTCTTCTGCCTTTGGAGAAATTGGTGCCATGGGGTTATAAAGCTGCCTAGTGCTGTCCTGAAAAATATAGAAACAAGCTAAATATAGAAAAGAGGTTTTTTAAAAAAAAAAAAAAAAATGTTGTCTTGACAGATGTGTGCTCTTTAGCATCCATTTAGCTTAAAAGTGCTAACCTATAGCAACTTGTTTCAGTCATGTGCTGAAGTTTTCGTTTGGATGTAACTAGTAATGTTTGTGGGAAGGTAGAACTGTAAAGAAAAGGCAAATGAACTTGTCGTGAGTGTCCAGCCACTCTAGTGTGACGTTTCACCTGCATCTGCTGTCCTGTCGAGAAATTAGCTTCTCTCTGCCGTCACTACTCTCGGTTCCAGCTCTGTGTGTTTGTCTCTGCAGCCTCATTTTGGAAGGGGTGAGCATGGTGGCTGGTGTTGGAGGGTGTAAGGAGTGGGCTGGTGTCAGCTTTCACCCACAAGAAAGCATGATTAGACTATTCTGGTGCCTGGAATACTGGCAGGGTTTAGTTTTCAGGCAAGAATTAGGTGGCAGGGCGACTTTGCGATCCAGGAATGCCGACCTGGATAAAAGTACCTGCTGCTGAGTTCTAAAATAAACCCTCAGAAAGGCTTACCTACGTCACTGCCTGTACATATTGTGCCCTACCAGCCTTCTGGTCAGCAAAGGGTGGGCAGCAGTCCTTGTGGGTGGGGGCAGAGCTGGCTCTGGGGGTAGATCAGTCCTGGTGAAAGGCTTGCTTTGCGGTGCCCTCACCGTCAGTCTAATCGGTTTTGAGGGGGGGGATAGGGCTTCTGCCTGACAGCTGGGGGGAGAGATGCCTTCGTCGGTGAGGGGTCCGATTCTGCCTGGAGGTCACCTGACAGTCTTGTGTTGTTGTGTGAATTTGGTCTGGCACTATTCTTAGCCAGCTCTGGTGCAAGGGTGAGGAGAGGGCAGAGGAGAGTCTGGAAAGAGATGAAGAATGATGCCCAGGTACCAGTAATATTTTAACCTACGTCATGGTATATCGGTATGAGAGTACTGCTTTTGGTGACCTACATTGGAAAGTATGCCTGTTAACAAATAAGGGTAGATTGTGTAAGATGCCTTTGATTTTAGGGGTTGTCCATTAGTATGTTTTTATGTGTAACATTTGTATAAATGCTGTGCTTTGTAATGAACTCATGCAGTTGATCTTCAGTAGGAAAAACTGAGCAGTTTCTGTGAGACCATTTTCTGGTTACTGTGATAAAGAACCGCTATGAGCTGGATGAAACCGATGCCATGTGTTTACATAAACTTAAAACGGGTGGAATAGGTTCAATACAGAAAGCCTGGCAGTCAGTGTATAGTTAACCAAATTCTAAGAATGCAGTACTGTTCCACTGGCTGCTTTGGAAACCTCTGTTCTGCCTATTTGTGATTATTTCCCCTTTTCTGTCCCTCTGTTCTCCAACTTACTGTCAGTCCACCAAATTAGATGTAGTAGGATCTGGTCATGTGATCTCCTCCTATTTGGACACTGCTACCTTTTTATCAGGGCACGCTATAGAAATGTCTCTTTACGTTGTTTATTCCATTCTTTGGTGAATGATTAACCAGTTTCTGTAGATGGTTTTCTTTGTCTAGTCTTAATTATCTACATGTTCTCTCAAGAAATAGTCCTCATGTAGTCATTGTAATGTTCAAGTTGATATAAATCATTGGTGGTACTTACTGTGCCAGGGAAGATTTCTTTTATAATTAAAAGTATCACAGCACTTCTTGACTTAAGTAAAAGTGATGGCTTCTTGGTGTTCCTCGGTGTTACTCCACAAAATTCCAGTCAAATCAGTAATACTTAAGCATTATTGACTAAACCCAGAGTTTGTTCCAGATATTTAATTTTGAATGGAAGTGCTTAAAGTGTGGTGGATCAGTTTGAAACTGTCAGTTATTCTTGTGAGGTTATTTCAGAACATCCACTGAAACATCAGTATTAATATTGTTTTAATTGCCCTAACATTAGTATAGAAATTGCACATGCCATGTTTCATTTACTCAGTTTTATACAAATGCACTCTAAGTTAGGGGAAAAAAAACTCACTTTTTTATGAAGTTAACTGGTGCTTCTTAAAGTATTTAAAAATGGGTTCATGGTTTCAGCATATAAGAATCAAATAAGGGAGCTATTCTGATCATCCAGTCTAGATATCTCAGTTTATGACTAAAAGAACTGGGGAATACCTGTGATATCTTTTGTCTTGTTTCACAAGAAGAAGATTTCACTCGCTCCGTTAACTGGGGGGGCGGTGGTCGCAGTGCATAGTCACTGCCTAAAATAACCACGGGTGACACCGAAAACTGAAGCAGCAGTGAAAGGGGACTTAGCTGTTCTCCCTTCCTATCTCCCGTCCTAATCTCCCCCCTGGAAACGAGGCCCAAAGGCCGTCTGCACTTGGCCCCACTGCAGTAAACCACTATAAATAGACCTTTTGCTCCAGTCTGCAGACATCAGAAAAATCCCAGCCTTCAGGGCCCTTGTCACCTTTTCTAGTTTATCAGGGTGCAGCACGGATTGTGGGGTAGGGTGTAGGGGTTGTCGTATTCACGCTCAAATTATCATCATACCGCTGGCGTTCGGGTGCTGCAAGCAGCTATTTGGGAGTGTAGTTTTGGCAGAGGAGCAAACCACACACACTGGCAAGAACTTCGCAGGGATGCACGTAGCAGCCCAGGGCCATAACCGTGACCGCACCCTCTCCTTGTGTGTATGCGTGTGTTTTCCAGCTGGCCGTTGCCTGAGCTGGAATCGAGCCAGATCAGACTGATCGTGTATCAAGACTGCGAGCGGCGGGGAAGAAACGTCCTCTTCGATTCCAATGCCAAAAAGAAGAGCGCAGAAGATACCCTGGTCACGGTGAGAGGCTCTCCAAGCACGTCTGCTCGTCCGCCCTGCCACCTGTAATCTCTACTGTTACTAGAACATAGGTGATGTTGATTAAAATCTCCTGGAGCTGTATTAGAGGGCCTGACCGGTTTAAACTAGGGCTCTTATCTCTAGCAATAATAGAATCAGCTGACTCTTCGTGTGTAAGCATTCTTTCACACTCACATGACACAAGTTCGCTTTTGCACGTCTTCTCTCTGCATGATGTATGATGCATTGTTTTCTAAAACTCATTATGAGCCAAGTGTTATTTAAATAAATAAATATTTATTGGTTTCTTAATAAGGTGAATTTTATTTTATGGAGTTAAAAATTTATTTTCTACTTTAAGACCTTTGGGAGTACAGTGTTTATGCAATGTAGCAGTGTTGAATTCAGTAGTCGGTGTACTGTACGTGATACAGGGTATTGAAGCTGAACCTCGGAGGCTAGTAGATTGTGTGGCTTCATCACATGATGATTTTTGGCAGAGGATAATGTTTGTCCTGTGTGTGTGTGTGTGTGTGAGAGAGAGAGAGAGAGAGAAATAGAGAGTGTGTGTGAGAGAGGGAGGGAGGGGTAGAGCATGTGCGCAGTTCCAACTCACGAGTTCCTGAGGAAGTCATATGACAGGAGTTCACATGCTCCAGCCCTCTGTGTCCTCTGTCAGGGCATGACTCTACACTTGAAGCTTTTTTTTCTCTCTTCTTCTTTTTTTTTTTTTTTAAATGGTGAGCCATTACCAAGCAGACAGAACGCACGCAGCCAACCTCGCATTCCACGGCTCCTTTGTGCCATTTCAACTGCAGGAATTTTTTTTGGCATAACAGTGCATTCTGTTTGTTTTTGTTTTAATTTTTTAAATGTGCTAAATGTTTTGATTTAATACATTAAAATAAGTTAATATTATTACAGCATTTTGTTTCCAGTATTCATGTCGTACATTCATATGTGTAATTTTAATATTTATAGTAGTACTTTGGTATTTCGATGTAATGCATTTATTGTGATATTTATAATGTTTAGTTTAATTAAACCGTTTCCAAGTTCCTCCTTCAATAAACACGAAGTATTTCTCAACCTCCTGTTTAACGCTGTGCTGTGTGGAAATGTTACACAGTTACTCCATCGAGTGTGTTTGTGCAAAGTGCCCGTCCCATAATGTGGGTAAAAGTATGCGTAGGGGCCCCCGCACACCCGTGAAGACACGTCCCGTCTGTCTGTGCAGAAGCCAAGCGGCGAGCCGCAGGGCAGAGGGCCGGGGCGGTGCTGCCGGCTCCGACCCAATGGGGGCAGCTCCAGCTCCCTGGACAGCACCTGCTCCACGGCCTCGGAGCCTCGGGAATCTCGGGAGCCGGGCCTTCGCTTCCAGGTGAGCCGGGCCATCCCGCCATTCCCTCTGCTAAATGTTTGTTCACATGGCCGCGCACTCATTGGCGTGGTGACGCATCCGGCTCATTTCCCAGAATCCCTGACCTTCAGCTTGTGTTGTGCCTCTCTCTCACACACACACACACACACACACACGTACCTAACTTGACCATCCTCTCTCCCCCCCGTCATGCTCAGGGATCCCGCTGCTCTTCTGATGCCAACATGCTGGGGGAGATGATGTTTGGCTCGGTGGCGATGAGTTACAAGGGCTCTACGCTGAAAATCCATCAGATACGGTGAGAGAGCAGGGCCCCCGCGTGGCGACCAGCCCGCCGCAACTGCAGGACCCCACTCACGCCAGGGGGTCTGTAGCTGTCCCATTCCTGTCCACAGAGTCTGCTGTCAGAAACATTCCTTTGATTATTGTCTTTCCTCAGGTCTCCTGCTCAGTTGATGCTGAGCAAAGTGTTTACAGCTCGGACAGGGAGCAGCGTTTACGGAAGCCTGAACACGTGAGCAGTCCTCTCCGACCGGCCGCCTTGGGCGTCCTTATCTCTGTACCGGGCCTGCTTAGAACTGTCATGAAACCCATGACATTTCGTGTTTTTATCAAGCGCTTATTTAAGTGATTTAAACATAAAGGTGAAATCTTGTCTTGCAGCAGCAAGTCACATGGCATCAGTTGGGGACATTTTTATCTTTCTTTTTGGCAGATTACAGGATAGCCTCGAGTTCATCAACCAAGACTCCGTTGCACTTAAACCGGATCAAAACACTGTGGTCAACAGCTTCCTGGGGAACATAGGTAATGAATTGGTCACATGGCATGCATTTGCAAACTGTCTCAAGTCAGGCTTTAGTCTGCTGTGTGCAGCTCAATGTGACATCTGGATCTGGCTGCTTCTGAGCACAGGGCTCTTACCTGTTTTCTTTGGTTATTGACTTGCGAATCATGACTTGGCATCACGAGAGCTGGGTGTGTGTGCAGTAACTTTATTGACAATATTGTGAAAACTAGTGTCTTTTTCCACCCATTCTTTATGATGTTGACATTTGCCTTAATTCCCCCCCCCCCCCGCCCCCCCCCAGTCTTTGTCTTTTACTACCTCCTATGATTTAGTGGTTAATTTTTTTTTTTTTTTTTTTTTTTAGTTGTGTTTT